TCTCATAGCACTGGCTACATTCGTCGCGCGCATACCACGACTTGCTGATATGGGACGCGGCAGTATAAACGGTATCGCGGTGATTCCTCCGAATTCAGCACTGCCAATTATGAGCATTTGACATCTTTTCCTTCGCAACTCTCTGCCGGTTTTTCCCAATCTCCGTGCCTCCTAGCAAGCGGTTCGTGGAATCTCGGCTTTAGTTCCGCCCACTTCGGTGGACGCTCCGCCCACCAATTTCACATTCCTCCATTCTCTCACTCCTATATTCACTTTTTCAGGGTTCTCCTCTCCCCGAACCGACTTATAGCTTCCATGGGATATCCCACCCGCTTTTGCGCACGTCCACCCACCATAAGCAGTGAGCTTGTCATATGTACATTCATAGGATGCCTGTCATAGCGGCCAGAGAGCAATGAAATCCTCGGTCTTCCTAGCACGAATTTCACGAAAAGAAGCGCGCAAATGCTTGAGAACTTCAGTTTTCGGGTCTATCCCAATAAAGGGCGGAAGTGGTGTAGTGGCAAGTGGCACGCTTACCACGCGAGCGGTCCGGGGATCAAATCCTGGGTCGTGAGTCGCCCGGGCCAACCAAGCCTTCCATCCCTCCGGGGTCGGTTAATTGGTACCAGACTTGTCTGGGAGGATAAAAACACTGACTTGTACATCGGCTGGCCCCCGCAAGTCATTGTATAGGCCACATCGCATTCAAACGCCACTACGAATGTACAAATGGAAGTAGAATGCGTGCCGCATCCCAAAAAGGGATTGATCAACGGCAAATGCTTTATCCTTTATCCTTATTCTTCACGCTCTCTCGAGAAGATAAATATCATTCGGTTCTGAGCTTCTTTTTCAAATTCAAATAACGCCTGTTATTTTCGATTTATTCACATAGTATTTCAATGTAGATGCACTCGTGCGAATGGTAAAAAAACATTTTCTTCCTGGGGAATACCACGCCAATCGTATTTGCGCTAAAAGTCCAAGGTGATTCAGGCTTCGCCATGAATCATCCGTGCATAGTGATTGCATGCATTTCATGCGTTACGATTAGGAATGGTCCAGTAAAGGAAGAAAAAGAAATAAACCATTCCTGTAAGACGGACATCATCCTACTCAACTTTTTGGACTCATTTCCTCGTTACTCACATTCTTGGGTTGGGAGCGGCATAAATTACTATGATGAGATCTCGGGAATGATATAGTGGGGCGCATGGTCCTGGGTAAAATCTTAGATCGTTTCGTGCCCTAATCCATTCAGCTTAATCTTTCCATCTCCTTGCAGTTTTTTATTTGATACCAAACTCTTCTGAAACTTTAAGAACTCTAACATGTTTATTGCTCTGTCCTCCTACAAAGCATCTGTATGGATGAGATCACGTGCGTTCAAAACGCCTACTACGACCTCTGAATTCAAGGGCTCTCACCGAAAAGTTGAACATATAAAGAAGCGCGAGTCCTTGAACTTATCATTATGTTCGAAACCCATATTATGAAGGATTTAGGATGGCGGTTGAATCAAACAAAAACAAATCACTTTGGTTCGCGGCGAAACCATCACCCCCTTTGATTTTTCATTAAATGGAGCTTACGTTGATCGATGCCAGAACTCTCTCTTGAACTATGGCACTCATATCGTTAGGAGGGACATTGAATTGTGAGCCACTTACAGAACTTGGGATTAAGCCTCAGGAGGGAAGGGATTGCAAGGTGAACGTGAGCAACCTTAGTCCTTCCTGCATTTTTCGCACTCTAATGGCCTGTCCTTTACGCCAAGCTGATTCGTCCGAACCCTTTTGAATGTCCCCCTGAAGGCCATGAGCGTCGTGGTTTTCAGTGAGAAAAACGTCCCACTGCAGAAATTAGTACTGAGCTCTAACCATTCCGGAAAATGCTGGATGCTGTTTCAAATACCAATAAGGAGAGTAGACCGTTGTCCGATGTAAGCTGAAGTGCGCCCTCGCAATGAAGGGAGGGGGGGAGGTAGTGTGGAGTGGAACCCTGAAGGTTTTAAATCTCAGACAAATAATTTTATTTTAATTCATATTTGGTCTCGTTTACAAAGACCCTTCATCTTCCTTCGTTTGCAAAAAATTGAATTTCTGTTGCTAGAATGAATTGCTGCTCCGGAACGCCCACCCACTTCCTACCAGTCAAGACACCATCGCCAACTGAAATATTCAAGTGTCAGTGTATGTATTTCGGAAATGCGCCATGCTTTTGACTTCAGCAAAATCGTTGAGGCAGTTGAATGCGCATTCCACCAAGACTGTAACTTCGCGACGTTCCGTCGATATGCATATCTGAGATTCTTTTCTTCCTTTGGTCTGGTATTAACCATTAAGCATCTTGACAACCCACGGTATAGAAAGCTTGGGTGGGTAATGAAGAAAGGTCAGTGTACCTGAGAGGAACTCGTTCTCTAGAACTTCATATCCTTTCAGTTGATGGTTTCCCATGTCCCCATCCATCAGCAGGAAAAGCCCTTGTGTATCACGGCCGTATCCTGTCCGCTGATGAATATCACGTCGGGCCCGCCCACCCGTCAGCTAGCTGGTTGACTCATCGCTTTTGGCTGTCCGAATTTCCAGTTGATCATGAAAGCTTGGTACTTTGTGAGACTTTTCACATTCAGTTATCATTCTTTGCCTCTCGAAAAGCCAGTTATCTTTGAAATTTGAATGTTGTAACAAAATGTGGTTTCAATCGATTTCCATTCAATCATAACCTAACAGTAAGCGCACGTCTCTTTCCACAAGTCTCGCCATCAGCATTCTTTCGCTTTTCAACTGGAAGAACTCTCTCCATGATTGATTAATTAGTGTTGATTGATATGTGTTTCACTCCACCTTCCAAGTCGAACAATTCTGTAATTTCATGGCTCCAATTCACGTTTGAATTCATGCTCGCTGATAATGGGCGGGACTTCGAGTGTTTCTGCAAATGAACGTCAGTTGATGTTTGTCGTCACCTACGCGCTTTTGCGACCGTTTACAAATTACTATACTTCGTCGCGAATGTTTATCGCTATCGTTATCAGTGCTTAGTCGAGATGTTTTGAGACGCCTGTCAGGCGACCTTAAACCTCGTGATCATCGATAGTCATCGTTTTCGTCCTCATTCTTTCTGTACTTCGTATTGATCGTAGTCGCTCAGCTCCTGAGTTTCCAGTTTTTGTCCAATACCATAATTTTTTGATTTATTATTTTTACAGGATGGTGCAGAAACTCGAGAACGAGGCCGACGTCCGACGATCAGCCAAAGAACCCACCTTCTCCAAAAAGCCGTCTTGCTGTTTTAAAACGAAACAAGAAACGTAGGTTTTGCAAATACTTTTTGATTTTATTCTTTTTTCTCTAGCACCTATATTTGAATGAATGTGATAGCGTTTAGAAATGTGTTCCAAGAAACGCAAAAATCTAGAAAGCAGCCAGAAGCAAGCAACCATTTTATATCCATTTTCATCAGGTCGCAGAGTGAAACCAATAATCAGTGGCGTGAAATGTGGCATTATGTAATTACTGAATCAGATGGTCAGAGAATATCAAAAGGCTTAATCATAAGCTTATGGAAAGGGAGCATGAGTAAAGAATACACGGAAGATTGCTAGTTAGTCTTTGATAAGGTTGGTGGAGAAATGAGGCAGGGTCGCGTTATCATTCATGCAGAACCATGCTTAATGTGATTGTTTTGTCAGTATTGTGAGATATTTGCTCTGAAAATATGACCTTCAATCCCTGATAAGGTGTGAGGCGGGTATCAGTATTGGTTATCGTGTTTGTTTAGTAAGAAGTTTTGAATGAATTGCCTGATATGATTGCATGTAATACTTACCATCTATTTCATATGAGACTCGCACCTGAAGGAGGTCTGCTTTGAGTAACGAAATTCGCTCTGTCTATTACAGCTTGTTAAAATGGTATTATAAGAAAAAGCTCTGGGACCTCTTCTTCACTCAAGGTCATTAAGGTTCACCCCGCAGAGGGATCGTCGGATTTACACTTTGGCTTTAGTCTCCCAAAAACCCGCTCAATAAATGCCTTAGTAAGCATTCATTCTGTATTGCAGCTGTCGCAGTTGTGTGTGTGTGCTTGAGCTTGTTGTATTCATGAAAAGGCGAGAAAGTTGCTTCATTGCCGTAAAGAAGGTGGAAAACGTTAAGAAAAAATTTAAGTGTGGTGTACGGGATTGGAGAGCTGCTATTTTTGAGTTACGTTATCTCCTCGCATATCGCACTCCCTTTCCTTTTTTCTATTTTTTTTACTTAAAAGTTGAGTAGTACAGTTTTCCTGACTTTTTCATTGTATTAAAAGTTTTCCATGTTTAGTGAAACTTTTTTTTTACAGTAGAAAAGTGTACCAATAAACTACACCACGTCAACTGCAGAAACTAGTTGCTCATCAAAGCTAAAGCTAGTTCTAGTTGAATTGACTGAGAAAACCCACCCGGTTCTGTAAGCTTTGATTCCTCCAAGCACCTGCCTCTAAATACCGCTTTCGTATGTTTCCTATAAGTCATTCAAGTTTGAGAGTGCGAGAATCTATTCGGATATCATCAATGCTGTGTTTCCCATGCGCGCCGCGTTAGTGCTTTTGATCATAACATTAAACAGCAAAAATTATAACAAAATTCGCATTGTTAGGTTCCGTTGCGATATCT